CCAACCCTTGGATTATTTATTATCATTAGGGAGCCAAGTTGAGCCTTAACCCCTATTCGTTGCTTGAGACCCCAGCTCTTAACCGTGAAACCTCTTCTTAGACTTTCTTTTTGTACCTCGTGTGAAGAAGTGCTTTGATTTCATTATACAGACTTTTTGAGTATTATTCGAAGGGCATTACACCCACTTATGTATAAAAAAAAAAAAAAGAAAAAAAAGGAAAAGACAAAGTGCAGGGAACCAGCAAGTAAAGTTGACTTTTAGGGTGCTGGTTGGGAGTATTGAAAAACAAAAAAAAAAAGAAAAAAAGAAAAAAAAAGGGAAAGAAAAAGGGGAAGAAAAAAAAAAAGAAAAAAAAAGAGGGGAAGTAGATGAATGAAAAAGGAGAAAAGGCGAAGGTTGTGGCAAGTGCTAATTCACTTCACTTGTGTGATGGTTGAGATGCCTTTAAATTTCGAAGGTGCAAGAATCTATGTAATGAATTTCTGGGCACTTTCTTTACACTTATGCACCCTTTTGACTCCTTTTTATCCTACCTTCTCACCCTAGCCCCATTACAACCTTTTGAAGTCCCTTTATTGCTGCAATTAAATTCATAAGTGGTGGAGATATGATATAAGAGCAAGCTTATGGTAGTGTCATTCTATTGTGTTGATTTGAGAGCCATCTTATATACATTTCATATACACTTTGGAGTGAACGAGTGCACTTGGAACTGTGAGCATTGTTGATTTGGTATATTCTGATTTCGATGAGGTTATTGGGGAAATTGGGATGCCGTTTTTGGTATGAACTGCTGTGATTAGCTGCGTATCTTGATTGTACTTCTGAGTTAATTATGCTTGAGGGCAAGCATAGTTCAGGTGTGGGGGAGATTGATAGGTTGCATTTTAGTGGGTATTTTGGGCAGTATTGCATAATTAATTGACTAAATATTTTCGTTAATTGGGTGGATTCTACTGATATTTTGTTTTGGTGCTAATTGCAGGAATGGTTGCTGAAAAGTGCCTAAATTTAACTTTTAGAAGATTCATCGGACGTGGGGCCCGTTTGAGAAGCTGAAGAAACCTAATTGTAATAGATTTTATTTTAATATATTTCTAGGGAGTCTTGCTGCAATTTTGGGGAAGTAACAATTTCCGGCTATTGGGAATACTATTTATCTCTCGCGCGGCTTAGGTTAGAGGGGAGTTCTTTTTCTCTTTGTTTTGGTTTCTTCTTTGGCTCTGGGGAGGAGACAAAACAGCCGCAGCTTTGTAGGGAGAAAGGGATAGCCACTTTTGTTGACTTTGGGGATTCTATGAACTATTGATTTGTTCTTTGACCAAATTGAGAAGTGAAAAACAATTGCAATCTTCCAATCTCTCGTATGCTTTGATAGAAATCGAGAGAAGAAAAGAATAGCCGCCGTTGTTGACTTTTCCAAGCTTTGGTTTGCACTCTTGCTGACGACATCCACAGTGGACAATCTGCCTTTCATACGCTTGGGCTTTTGGAGACAAGTGCAAGAAATCAAAATTTCTTGTTCTGGTCTTCCGCTCTTGACCAAAAGAAAAAGGTTCGATACAGCGACGTATCCCGGTTCTCCCCGCGTAGCTTGTCCTCCATTAATGGAGGGCTAGAACTCTAATTCTAGTCAAGGGGACAACTGACGAATTGGTTCAACAATTACTGTGAGATCTAATTTATTTTAATTGCTTCCTTCATTTATTGGTATTCATATGTTTCCTGTTTTTAATTGCTATAACTCGTGTGAGTGATTGAATAGATGCGCAATATTTAATTATTCACATAGGCTATTTTGCTAAATAGGGGTAATTGAATCCGTAATTGTTCGTTACCTCTATCCCAGTAGCAACTGGTATAATTGGGTTTATGTCAGGGGAATATATGATCTAACTTAAATAAACCCTCGTAGCGTGTTTATTGGTTAGGATTGGGCCTATCTAGTTATTAATGCAATCTGGAAATTGAATCCTACGGTCGTACCTAGGGTTGTTTTTGGGTTAGAGAAATAGTTAACGGTCGTACCTTGGCTATCGATAAATTAAGGAAGGGTTGGTTGTTTAGCGCGTGCGAGACAACTAGAACCAATCTACTAGTAAATGTTGGAATTACCTTTGAATCAATGATCAGTGCATGAACCATTTCTGAAGTATACCCTTGGCTAGAGTTTCTCTCATTTATTTCTTTTAATTAATTATTTTCTGCAGTTAATTTGTTTAGTTGGCATTTGATACCAAAACCCCCCATTAATCTTGATTTGAAAAGAAACAAATATCTCTCCAGTCCCTGAGGAGACGACCCTGCTTACCACTATCTACTAGTTAGAGAACTCAGTTAAATAATTAATTCAGGTATATCGGATTAAGCAAACTCTTCGGGAACAGGGTGAATCAAGTAACCCATTGCACACCTAGAGTCCCTGCTCCAGTACTCGGATTGATTATTGACTGATTTAGGTGGTAGTTAGGTTTTATTTATTATTATTGCACAGGTTCGGCACCTGTCAAGGGGATCCTTCTGGAACTCCCAGGAGTAACTTCCTTGTTGAAAATAAAAATTAAATGAAAATTAAAAGTCTTTTTATTAGTAGCCTCACGTCTCAATTGTGGCGACCCCTTATTCCGCAACGCACCCCACAGAACACCAATTTTCTGAACTTTTTCAATTTTGACAATATTCTTAGAAATTAGCCCAAATTGTGGGGTGATTTAAAATTTGACAACTTTAATCCCTTCTTGTTTCTATCTTTTTTTTGTTCTTAGAAAAGAGGTTCTCAACAAATAACATGCTAATTCTAATTCCATGAAATAACAGATTTCCAATGCAAAAAAAAAAAAAAACGGCTGGATAATACTACTACCTTTCAACAAAAAGAAAACTAGAAAGAAAAACTGATGTATTATTGTCAAATTAGAAAACCAATACTACTTTCAGTCAGCATTTTGTGTGCTAAAAATGCATTGACTTTTCATGTATTTAGGTAGTGGTCCAATCACAAATTAGACCCCGGGGGGGTGGGGGGTCCCTGCCGGGGGCTTTCTCCCTCCAACCTTCCTTAGCCCAATTAGATCCTCTTAGTATAGGCTGAATAGTAAAGATTGGCACCTACAAAAAAAGGAAAGAAAAAACTACTTAGCAATTATAGCTAAATGCCAATGAACATAACTCCATCACTTAATTTTCAGGAGGTCCTTTAAGGTGTACTTCTGTCTTGATATTTGAATGTCGGCATTAAGAGTGATTTATAAATTGGTGTGATGCTTGATTTCAATCCCTTGGCGGCCAGAAGCAACCACAAATATCAATTGATCATTACTCGTTTGGCACCCGGTGGTTGACTCTTTCTATGACTCTTTCTAGAATTATGAAATGCATGTTCACTTCTTTGGTTCTGAGATCAAGCCAATGTATATATCTTTTATTTATTTATTTATTTTCTTTGATTTAGCTCTATATAATAATTGCAAGAAAAATTGAAAAAAAAAAGATTCTTTAGAGTGGAATTAAGACAAAATTTCTACAAAAACAAAGACATTTTTTTATTATTAGGAGATAATTTAACATGAAGGGGAGAATTTTTGGACTGTTTACGAATATTTTCAAAATTATCAGCTGACCAAAGTTGAATTCATACGTGAACTACTGAGCAAACCTGGAAAATCTTTTAGGCAGTGCCCTCTAAATTTGAGGGGATAAAATATCGTTTTTTCTCTTTTATTATTTAATCGGTGTCCTTAAAACGCACAATATTTCCATTTAAGGCACCTACTCAAAACTTATCCTACTTAATAAATGCACCAAGACAATCCTATGAAAAACAATTACAACTTTGGCTTGGCTTTCAGTTTTTCTAAGCATCAACTTGAAAGCCAAGTCATTTGTTCAAGGCGTTGCGTCAAATTCACTTCGATCTTCGGTATGTAGCAAGTGAATTGTTGACATCTTTTCAGCTTATATTAACCGAATGATCATCCCAAATTTAAAATATCTATGTGCAGGACCATAACCAAAACAACTTGCCTCGAACCAATTTGATGAAAAAGAATGGTAAAAAAAATAGAGAGATGGCTGATAAGCCTTTGGATGTTATTGTGACAAAAAGAGTATGCTATTGATATGAAAGTATGGAGTTAAAGATAGCCAGAATCTTTATTGGAAATATACAAAATAAATTACTAATATTTTGAGTGATCTACTATCACCAATTCCACAAGATGAGAGGCTAGAGCTATAGTCAAAACAGAGTTCGCAGAAGAGGACAAGTGGCTAGAAAGAGTTATTGTCTTCTGCCTGTAAATAGAAACATCTTAATTGGCCATGCATGCCACTTTTAGGTATAACAATTTCTTCCAAACTTCCAATATTACAACTAAAATTTGGCAATGCTTTCAAGTTTTGTCAGTCTGCTTTTCCTTTCTCAGATTTATGCCATTGATCCATACTAACAATTTAGCCAAACAAAGCATCATTTTGGAAATGCAAATTCCCCTTAGTTAGGCAGCAGGGAGATGGAATTAGCTTTAAGCTTGCAAAATTTGCAACCAAACTGATACGTGATGTTAAGTGGAAAAGAACCTTCCCCCTGTGGCTCAAAGGAGCATCACAGTCCTGATGGAGCAGTTGCTCCCTTTTGTATACTTGTTGTAATATTGTCTAGTATGAACATATAAGAAAGCGACATTCTGACCAAAAAAAAAAAAAAAAATAATCTCCCTCCCCGAGGATCTATAGGCCTCGAATCAGTTGCTTTGGATCGATCTAATCAAGGACCTTATGTTGGTGTCAGTGATGGCAGAATTTTGAAATACCAAGGCCCAACTGTTGGTTTCGTTGATTTTGCACTTGTTGCGCCAAAAAAGTACCATTATTTTCATAGTATATATTTGTGGTTATGCCTCCCAAATATTTTGAGTACGCATTAATCGATGTATAAACATATTTTAAGTCTGTATTTAACTCTTTACCTTTTCCACTAGTGTTCATAAAATGGATAAATGAGGTTACTCTGGTTAGTTCTACACATGAAATGGCAGGCGTGTTTGTAATTAAACCACATTGAACCAAAGTTGCTTTTGGCAACTTCTCCTCCTAGTGATCTTTGACACAAAACCAGGTAGTTTCAAAATCCTTATACGAAATTGCTTGATTTGAAAATAAAATATATAAGAATAATTAGCAATTGGATCACAACTGGCAAAAGCTTGTTCAAACACTTAATTCTTCGTTGGAATGATTATAGGCACAAGTTAAACCATATAAACATTAAATTTAAGAGTAAATCTTGTATATATTGATCATGTATATACTATCATTGCATGTGCAGTCCATTTCTTTCCTCTGGAAATGCTTAATGAAATGCTTAATGAACATATATGAGGAATTTAATTCATCGTGTTTCTTCAATGCAGGAACAAGCAGTTTTGTGATGGTGTAACAGATCCAAATTTTGGGCCAACATGTGGAAGGATTCTAGGAATTAGTTTCGACCCTATTAGTGGATCTCTCTATCTGGCGGACACATTCTTTGGTTTTGGAATCGAAGGTGCAAATGGCGTTCGATTCAATTTTCTCACTGGCTGTGATGTTAAAATTATGTAGTTTAGGAATTAAAGCATCCATTTTAAAGTTTAGAGATCAAAATAAATATTTGGATATTATTGAAGGATGCAAAATAGAATTAATCTGAAGAAAGATGCCAGCGGAATAGAAAAGATACAACTATTTAATAAGATTTGAATATACAACAGAAGATTAATTAGTAAGAATTCGACAATGATATTCACACACCTTGACATCCACATTGTCTCATTACTGTAAATTAGCTTAATATGCAATTTAAAAAAAATAAGGTACCAAAGTTCTGCAGATATTAATAAGAGGTGTTTGTATACCGCTAGAAATGAAAGCAAAGTCGAAAAGAATGGAATAGTGCAAAGGGAACATGTCCCGGCCAAATTCATCAAACATGTCCCGGCCAACAACCCAAATGAACTTTAGGCAACGTTTAGGCCCAAGACGTGTCAGGATTAGTAGCCAGAAGGATTTACTTAGTCACGTAATAAACAATACTTGTGAGGATTAGATTAAAACATCAAAAGAGAAGAAAATGAAACCCAAATCCCTCAATCCAAACGTACCCGTAAAGATTTCCTAATTTAGCTCCAATTTGCCAAAACGGGTTCACACGAGATATTGGTTATATCTACATACTTTGCCCCCACCTTACGACTTACACGCAGTTGGACAATTTCCTAATCTAGTTTTACTTTTCTTAAAAATTTCCTAATTTAGTAAAGGGAATAATCCCATACAACTCCAGCTCCACTAACCAAATTACATAATATCAACTAACCAATTAATTAATGACACATGGCTATACTAATAAAATAATACTTGGTTTAATTTTTTTGTACATTTAGGATAGTACATATAAAATGCAAGTAAAAAATCTTAAAAGGGTCAGACCTAAAAGTCAAGACAAGAGCTAAGTAAGGGGGTTACTGAATTTTATCAAACTTTTAGGGGAGGCACGAAGACTGCTTTTAACAAAAAATTTCAAAAAAGAAAAGTCATCGGCCAAAGTCGAATTGAAATTGGAACTAATGGAAAAAAAATTAAATGTTGGATTTTTTTTTAAACCAATAGCCCTCTAAATTTTGGAGGAGAAAAAGATTTGTTTTTTTTTTCAATTAAGTGTCATAATTCCAAGTGCACATACGCCGAAGACTCAAATTCACTTGTAGAACTTTGGTTCCTTCGCAAAGCCCACTACGCAGTCTTTACCTTTTGCATATGTTCAAATCCTTGAGCCAATTTAACTTGGACCTTCGGTACGCAATGGATAAATTGTTCGACCTTTTGCAAACTACATTAAATGGATGTTTAAAAGAAATTTAACATACCTATAAAGAGGACCACAAATTTGAAATAAAAAGGAATTAAAAAAAAAGAGAGAAAGAGCTGAGGCAAAAGGGAGGCGAGGTCCATGTATATAACTGGATAGGAGTGCGAGAAAAAGTGTACAAATTAAAATAAGAATATTTTGAGTATTGATTGGTGGCTGCAAAATACAAGAGGCTAGAACTACAGCCACCCAATTTTTCTAGGAGTTTGGCGGAAGTGGACAGGTTGCTTGTTACCATTATGGGCTTCTGTCTATGTATAGCAACACAACAATTAGATTGGCAATGACACTTCAGGTATAAGTATAACAATTTTTTTTTAGTAATAGAACTATAACATTGGCATTGCCGCTTTAAGTAACAGTAGTTTCCAATAGTAGAACATTGGAAATGCTTTCCATTTTTATCATTTTGCTTTTCGTTCGTCATATATATGCCATCGATCCATACCAAAAATTTACCCAAATCAACCTCCCCCTGGAGGACCCATAGGCCCTGAATCAGTTGCTTTGAATCGATTCAATCAAGGCCCTATGTCGGTGTTAGTGATGGCAGAATTCTGAAATACCAAGGTCGAACTACTGGTTTTGTCGATTTTGCTTTTGTTGCACCAAATAGGTGCGAACTTTTTCATTGTGCATCTTCATGGATATGCCTCAAAAACATTGCACGTCTAAGTGCCGATGACAAAATGTATTCATGAATAATTAAATCTTCTTCAGTTAAAGGCTAATTCGATTTGTTCCTCTTAGCTCTGCATTTGATAATTTGGCAGAATTCTGAAGAAATGTTTTCACAGCAGCTGTCTGTCAAAAATGCTCCCGTGAACTTCCTGAACCCCAACTCACAAAATTTATAAGGTTTATCAAGTCAGACTTTGCACTAGGTTGATGAGCAAGCTGCTACGCGACGGGTGAAGCATGATACTCCATTTGCTCCTAAATTAAGAGGAACTTTGTCCCTAAAAATGATACTCCACTTGGACAGTCAAATTGGACAAAAAGCCAGAAAGGCTAATTTGTTTCACTGAAGGGAATGAATGGCAGTACAAATACATTCCAGTCACTGAAGTGCATAATATCTGCTTAATGTTTCCAACTATTTGACAAGTTAATAGGCCAGAAAATAACCATTTTTGTGCCTTTAATTATTCTTAGCCAACACATATGGTTGCCAACTTCTGTTTAATTTGCTTCCGTTGATAACTAATGATGTCTGCGTAGTTCGAGTTCGCTGTGACAGCTTACATGCGGGATTCTAATTCTCCAGTTCTCTTTTCTTCAGGAACAAGCAGCTTTGTGATGGTGCAACGGACCCAGATTTGGGGCCAACTTGTGGACGAATTTTGGGAGTTAGTTTCGATCCTTTCACTGGACAACTCTACATGGTGGACACATTCTTTGGTCTTGCTGTGGTAGGTCTAAATGGTGGGAAAGCTGCAATAATTGCTTACAGTGCAAATGGTGTCAAATTCAATTTCATCACTGGCTGTGATGTTAATCCAATTTACAAGGGAGCTCATCATTACAAATGGAAGTCAAACATTTGACATAAGGTACGTCTTTTAAACAATAATGGTAAACTGCAGTAGAAGTTCCTAAATTGCAGAGTACAACATTTTGGTCACAATTCTGGCTTTGTTTTCCGAAATTTTTAATTATTCGATTAATTTGAATTTTGCTATATGGGACTTGGACGAGGTTGAGTAGTCTTTGGTCAAAAGAAAAGATTAGGAACCACTCGGGGGGTGCAACCACCACTTCTAAAAGATTAGGTTCTCCCTTAGTTAGCATATTGAAAGTTTTAATATTGTCCTTAAATGCATAAAATTTGCCCTGTCAAAGGACATTTTCTGATTCTATCCATGTTGCTGGGGGATTTTTTTTTTTTTTTTTTTTTTAGCTTAAACTCAGAATTCGAAGAACAAGGGCATTGGTCACTAACATCGAGAAATTTAATCCCAGATAAAATTTATTCAAGGTCAAGGACCAAGTATGTTATATGGGTTCTCTTGCTGTCTTCCCTCTCGTGGTTTCAATCAGCAAGTTGACTCATGATGTGGAAAAACTCTAAAATCATTGGTAATACGAATTAAAACTGTGACATATATTCCTAAGAATATCGTAAATTTTTGTCGCTATTTTTGCGATATTATGTCAAAAGTAAAGCTAATTGATCCTTGAAAAGTTCTGCTAGAATGAATTACTTTTTAGATTCCAAAGCATTGCTTATTCGGAATTTTTTCAACTTTGTTCATTACGTTGGGAATTCCTTAGTCATGACACAAAGTTCAGTTTGGTAACTCGACTTTCCAAAATCCTGATGCGTGTTTCGTTTACGTTTTCTGTTTTCTACTTGTTTATCTATTTTGATACAGAGTAACATTTTGGCTGATACTTTCTATTATTTACTTATTTCGTTTGTTAATGGAGAGTTCAGGTATTAGCTTTTTTTAAAAAGGTGTAGCTAATTCAAGAAATCATATTAATCAATTGGTGCAATAATTGTGATTGTCATTATTAATATACGAAGTTAAATGCAATTTAGGTGTGCTAACAAATGCTCCTATGATATTGTGAATCGACCACTCATCCTTATTGGCCTTAATTGACTATCACTAACCGAGAATAAATAAGCACTCAAGAAATATTAAAACTGACGAGCGCGGGGTATACATATAAGAATTAGTTTATCTACAGTCAACTTTTACATTTATAACATCCTAAATACCCCATACGTGATTTTTCATAAGTATACGAGTCGAAAGCGAGTATAGGATATTAAGGGTCGATCCCATAGAGAAAATTTTCGATTACTGGTGATTTCGAATTCCTTTATTATCTAGACTACCATAAACATAAAAGTAATAAAAATAACACTAAAAAGCTCCTAGAGGTATGGAATTCCTTACTACTCTTGCAAATGAGATTACCAATTAAGTGAATGCTATTGTCCTGACTAGTTATGGCGTAATTTCCTAATGTATGTGAAAGCTACTCTCGTAGTGAATCAACTATACTTGTAGCTAAACCATACCTACTCTCGTGGTTATGAAATTAACTACAAGCTCATTTCTTCTTTGAAATTACATGCTCCTCTACTCTCGTGAGTGAATTCCCTAAGTTTATCATTTCCTTGAACTAGTGTTAAACTCCAATTCTCATTGCAAACTTAACATCTTTAGATAATCACAACTAATGGCCAGTTAATCATGATTAGAAAAGCAAAAGTGATAAACAACTTGCTCAAAATAATATCATCAAATAACCAAGTAAACATCACTAACAAGATATAGAAAGTTCATCCATTACTCTAGGCATAAACTTTAACTAAACATGAAGAAAAACAAATCCAAACTTGTATTATAATTAAACATGAACTTAAATACAAAAGAGAAAGTGATAGGAGAGATGTAACCCTTATCACATGAGTTTCAAACTCTCCATCTTTACTCCTCAATTTTCATCCAAATCTAACTACAAATACAAGAAAGAAAAACTACACTAACTATTCTATACTACCCTAACTAATGAACTAAGGAAATTCTAGTAAAAGCTACATTTTTAGTGAGTTTCTCTAGCCTTCCAAAAGTTTTTAAAAAATCCTCCAAAGGCTGCTATTTATAGAGAACTCAAGAGCCAAATGAGTTGTTTCTAGTTGTCATTTTTTACTCTTGAAACTCCCATGAGTTGTCTTTCCAAGTTTCCACATATTTCTTGATCAAATACAATTGGAATTGATAGCTGGAATTTAGCTAGAGAAGTTGTGTGAAAGCAAGGCAAGTTGATGAGTAAGTTGCAGAAAACAAAAAAGAATACAGGACCTCAGGAATACACGACTTGAAGTCGCATATTGATAGCTCGCATTTTCGCTTCTGTGCATTTGACACCACTTCAATTGCTATTTTCTCAATGATGGAAGCCGAACTATCTCTTGTGCAAAGCATGAAAGTTGCAACCCTTTGAGCTAGCTTTCCAATGCCTTAAGAATCATCCAATTTGGAGTCTGTGGACCAAAAAATAACCAAAATACCCCCGACTGGTCAGAGCTCTATTTCAGCTTTCGACAACAGAGTTATACTTCTGTATTTTGACTTTTTGACGAGGAAAATGACTGAGCTGGATTTCGATGTCTTCATACCAAATGTAGATCTATCTCTTAGCTTCAAAGTGGTTCAAAAATCATCTCAATATAATGCTTGTAACTTATGATATAGCCAAAATACCGCAAGGTATCAAAGCTAGAAAGCTTCCTTTTATTCTTGATTGCATTTCCTCTTATGCACTTCATATTTTATTTTTAACACTTCAAACTATCATCAATCACCCAATTACCTTCTCAATTCATGCCATTTGATGATTGAATCATTAAACTGACAAAAACATGAAGTTTTCTCATTAAAATCCATAAAAATGCAATTTTTACCACTTTAAACCACAAAATGCATATTTTCACTAGAATCCTAGTTAATTAGCTATAAAAGTACTTAAAACACACCAAAAATAATTAATGAAACACATTAAAAACATGTAAAATATACTCTTATCAAAAACCTAAATAAGGACTTTTTTATAATTTTTAGGTTTCAAGTTTCCTAAAAATTTTAAAGCTCTGCAAGAATATTTCAAACCATTCAGCAATCTTACAAACAGTTGCCTACCAACATCTTTGAACATTCTTCTAAACAATTCCATGCAGAGATGTTATACAAGGAAACTTTACCTCCAATTCAAGTGGAAGACTGATGAAATATAATCCCAAAACAAATGAGGTGAAGGTATTGTTGGATGGGCTCACCACATCATCTGGACCTGTATTTAGCTACGATGGCTCCTTTGTCCTATTTTCAAAGTCTGCCGACAGAAGAATCATCAAGTATCGACTAAAGAAAAATTGATAGGGAGAAACACCTTGAGAGAGTCCACCAAAAAGTCCAATATGTAAGTCAGGGACCTAATTTTGATCCAAAAACTTAAACCATTAGGTGTTGGACCTTTACTTACATATTAACTGCTTTATCTCTATCTCTTGGACCAATGTCGGATATAATCCTTTACTCATAAATCTAACAAATCTCCCTCTTTATGAGTAACCCCTCACATTAATCCCAAATTTGCAAGATCTTCTTCGAACCCACTTTAATATTCAACGCAGGCCCACCTTATTACCTAAAATCACCTCTTCTCCCAAATATGGACCCACTCTTTTTCAACATCTAAACTACATTCTGGACCCCTACCAACCTTTAACTCCTTAACACTAGCTAAATTCCTTAGCACTTTGGAGTTTCGGTCCACCATCAAGAAAAGAATTTTTACCGATCCAACTCCTAGAAGAATCCATTTACCCATGAGTAGTTCAGTCTCGTAACCTGAAGCTCTGATACCAATTTGATAGATCCCTGCTAACCTTTGGCTCCTTAACACTAGCCAAACTCCATAGCACTTTGGCATTTCGATCCACCATCAAGAAGAAAATTTTTGCCGGTCCAACTTCTAGAAGAGTCCACATGTCCATGAGTAGCCCAGTCACGCAATCTGAAACTTTGATATCAATTTGATAGGGAGAAACAAGAGAGTCTACTAAAAAGTCCAATATGTAAATCAGGAACCCAATTCTGACCCAAAAATTTAAACCATTAAGTTTCGAGCCTTTACTTACATATTAACCGCTCTATCTCTATCTTTTGGACCAATGTGGGATATCATCCTTTACTCATGAATCTAACAAAAAATACAACTGAAGTTTTTCTAAACTAACAGTAGATCCAATCAAAATCAAGAGGGCACCAACATATGGAGAATATTGGGTGGCGGCAAATAACATTGTTTTCCAGCCACGATCGGTTACACCTTTTGGTTGCAAGTTTAATTTATTTAAACAAATGCTAATGACAGAATTTGCAAGCGGGATATAACAACACTCAGGTTAATGTGCTGCAAGAATATGATATCAACGGAGGGACATTATACATCGATTCACGGGATGCATCATATGTTGGCATATTTAATAAATGGTAAGCCACCATTTGATTGGCATTTGAAGCTTGAATTGGAGAATAACATGCGACATAGGAAGAAAAAATGTTATGGACAAATAGGAGAGCAAAACAAATGTATTTTGTACTTGAATACTACTTGAGACAAGCTTTATAATGAATAAAGTGCGTTATTTTGTTGTATTTTCGATCTTAATATGTTGCTGTTGAGAAATAGGGTCTAATTTTCATTTGATTTTCACTTGATTTTAGGTTCTATTTTTCCTGATATTCTAGTTTGTTTCGCTGATTTAATTTAGTACTCTTAATAAATAGCTTTCACTCGATAAAATTTCCTTCCAAACTTGTTCAAGTTATAAATTTTCCAAGGGGTAACTAAATCAGCACGCTCAATAGGGGATGGAAAAGACTGATTCAAGAGATAGGCAAAGAGGAAGCCATTAAGAGAGAAAAATGATGGAATGGAACCAGAAAAGGGGACTGGTAAGAGGAAGTAGGGAAGTAAGGAAGGAAAGGAGATTATCAAGGCAATCAAAAAAAGGGCAGAATAG